ATAGGAACCATCTGTTTTTAAAAAATAAAAAAAAGAAGTAAAGCAGGCCACTCCACAAATGCTAAAACCCCCCAAGCCCCTCTCTCCAAGACTGTCCATATAGCAGTTAGTACCTACAGCATCCAGAAACAACCCCTAAGTGAAATTCACAAGAAGCACCATCTACAGTGGCTGTCATCACATTTGCAGGAATTAGGCCTCCCTTCAGCTCCTCCACGATATAAAATTCAAGAGAAGAGTTGTAACATCAGCTGTCAACTTTTCTAACCAAGCCCTGACTGAGCGTGGGTAGCCCCTGCAGGAGCCCACGGGGGTCTCGCATGGGCAGGATGCACACGGGTGGGGGGCAGAGCTGTTTCTGGTGCTGTAGGTACTATTTTTCCTCCTGATTTAATAAAGCCCAAAAAGAGATCTAGAGAGCAAGGTCAAAAGACATTTGGCAAAGCATCCTACCTGTCTGCTTCATCCAGGATGATGATCTTGTGGCGACCTTTGGGAAGGGTGACTTTTTGTTGAGCAAACATTTTTATTTTATTCCTCACAACATCAATGCCTCTGAAACAATAAATCAAAATTTTATTGTCACCTTCTGAAACAAATTCCGTCGCTACCTTCCTGGGAACTTTTAAACCCTCAGTATGTAATCAGGGACTACAGGACTCAATTTTAGTTTCTGAGTTTCTTTTTTGGGCAATTCTAACTATAAGGATGGATATTTCACTACTTTTATACTTTTGTGGAGGTCTTCCAAAGAACAAAGAAAAATTTTTTTTTTTTTTTTTTGAGACAGAGTCTCACTGTGTTGCCCGGGCTAGAGTGCCGTGGCATCATCCTAGCTCACAGCAACCTCAAACTCCTGGGCTCAAGCGATCCTCCTGCCTCAGCCTCCCGAGTAGCTGGGACTACAGGCATGCGCCACCATGCCCGGCTAGTTTTTTCTATATATTTTTAGTTGTCCAATTAATTTCTTTCTAATTTTAGTAGAGACGGGGTCTCACTCTTGCTCAGGCTGGTCTCGAACTCCTGAGCTCAAGCAATCCGCCCGCCTCGGCCTCCCAGAGAGCTAGGATTACAGGCGTGAGCCACCGCGCCCGGCCAGAAAATATTTTTTTTTGTTTTTTTTTTTTTGAGACAGAGTCTCGCTCTGTTGCCCTGGCTAGAGTGCTGTGGCGTCAGCCTAGCTCACAGCAACCTCAAACTCCTGGGCTCAACCGATCCTCCTGTCTCAGCCTCCCGAGTAGCTGGGACTACAGGCATGCGCCACCATGCCCGGCTAGTTTTTTCTATATATTTTTAGTTGTACAGATCATTTCTTTCTATTTTTTAGTAGAGACGGGGTCTCGCTCTTGCTCAGGCTGGTCTCGAACTCCTGACCTTGAGCGATCCACCCGCCTCAGCCTCCCAGAGTGCTAGGATTACAGGTGTGAGCCACCGCGCCCGGCAAGAAAATATTTTTTTGATAGAATAAAATTCGTTTTATCTTGCAATTACCATATGGGTCCACTGGACCCTTTTACAACCTAAGACATATTTGGGTCTTAGTGATCTCATTCTTCCTATATCTTAAAACAGCTTGTTACTTCATTATCCTAGTAATTACCACATTATAATTCATCGATTATTCTCAACTATGCTAAACAGATTAAAATAATAAGAAAATGAAAGAATGGTGGAATTGCCTAGAAGGATGATGCAACAGTGGGAAAAGAATCTTTTAAGCTTTCAGACCACAGCTGAGAATTCAAAATTTTTCATTTTCCACCCACAATGGCGAAGAGAAAAAAAAATGTCAGAGGAAGACTTTTTATAATCATTAGATGAATCAGAAAGTGACAGCAGAAAGACCAACAACAGCATTCTAGAGTCTACTGATAGTGAAATTGGCCATAGAAGCAAAATCTCAGACTGTGAGTCTTCAGATGCCATAACCTAGAAGAATTTTCTCAAACTGAAGTATCGAGGAGTGAACAATACACAGTTGTCCCTTGGTATCCACAGGGGATTGGTTCCAGGACCTCGTCAGATAGCAAAATCCACAGATGCTCAAGTCACTTATAAAAATGGCTCAGTGTTTGCATGTAACCTGTGCACATCCTCTTGTACACTTTAAATCATCTCTAAATTGCTACCGCGGGTTGAGTATACCCCGGCCGAAACGCTTAGGACCAGAGTATGTCGGATTTTGGATTTTTTCAGATTTTTGAATATTTATATTATACTTACCAGTTGAGCATCCCAAATTTGAAAACCCAAAATCTGAAATGCTCTGAGCATTCCCTTTGAGTGTCCGTGTAGGTGCTCAAAAGTTTCAGATTTTGGAGGATTTCTGGATTTCAGTTTTGGATTTAGGAAATTCAACCTGTAATATCTAATATAATGTAAATGCTATGTAAATAGTTGTTAAACTATTTTGTTTTTTATTTTATTTGTATTATTTTTATTGTTGTATTTTTT